AGGCTTCTTTAAGGGGTCTACAAAGATATCTATCTATGAGGTTCTACACCAAGTTGCAGGGTCTCTAAGATCTTTAGGTGTGGGGTTTCCATGGGGTTTCAAGGCATCAGGGTCAGAGATGACGATTCAGTATTCTGGGTCCAGGGTAGCGGTTCGGGTTCAGGGTTTAGGGTTTAGGGTTTAGGGTTCAGGTTTAGGGTTTAGGGTTTAGGGTTTAGGGTTTAGGGTTTAGGGTTTAGGGTTGAGGCCATGGGGGCACGGTTGAATCATTCAGACTGCTGACGGCGACATTGCCCGAAATCTTAGTTCTGTTCCACTTGCCAGGGCCCTTACTTTACACCCCCCAATCGTCACCGGCATGGTGACCCTTTGTAGAAACCCTGTAAAGGTCACTAAGAAATGTGGAGCAGTTCCGGCGATGGCGACGCTGCCAAGCGCTGCGCAGCTGACCCGAGATTGGCAGCTTGCAGTTCACGTAGCACAGCGACTGCCAGCAAGTGGGAGCCAGAAAGCTTCTAGGTCCCGCCTTACTACCCTTTGCCCTTTTTATTTTTGGGGTTTCCTTTGTAGAACCGAATAATAGGAAAAGGGTACCCTTTGCGCTATTCAGGGAATGGTGGGGAGCCCAGGCTTTATGCAAAGCGATCGTGGCCTGCGGAAGAGCCACAGAGTGGCAGGCGGCACTCTTGATACTATCGGGCATCTTTGCGTCCAGGGTGGCTCCCGATGTCTACAGCTTCAGCGCGGCCATCACGGCCTGCGAGAAGGGCCTGCAGTGGCAGATTGCAGTCGAGCTCTTGGTGCAAATGATGTCAGTCCAGACTCTGCCAAATGTGGTCAGCTACAGTGCCGGTATCAGTGCATGCGAGAAAGGTGGTGAATGGCAGATGGCCTTGTCCTTGCTCTTCGGAATGGCTGCATCTAGACTTTTGCCAAACACCATCAGCTTCAGCGCTGGCATCAGTGCATGTGAGAAGGGTGGTGAATGGCAGATGGCGTTGGCGTTACTGTCGCAGATGCCGACAGCCAAAGTTGCGCCAAATGAGATCAGCTTCAATGCAAGCATAAGTGCTTGTGAGAAAGCTGGTCAGTGGCAGATGGCGTTGGTTTTGCTGTCGCTAATGCCTGCAGCGAGTGTTGTGCCAAACCACATCAGCTTCAATGCCACCATCAGCGCATCCGAGAAAGTGGGTAAATGGCAGATGGCACTGTTTCTGCTATCTCTGATGCCAGCGGTCAACGTTTTGCCAGATAAAATCAGCTTCAACGCCAGCATAAGCGCATGTGAGAAAGCTGGTGAGTGGCAGATGGCATTGCATGTGCTGTCGCAAATGCCGGCAGCCAGTGCTGCATCGAACGAGATCAGCTTCAATGCCGCCATCAGTGCTTGCCAGAGAGGTCATGGTTTCGGAAAATAGGAGGTTCCTGGCCGCTCCTAGCCCTTCGATAGTAGCATCCTCCCTTAATTACACAGACCCAGATAGGATACCCCCACTTCTTCAAGAAGCCCTTACGAAGTCATATAACATCAGCCAAAACCTTCTAGAACCTGATGGAAGCCTGGAAAAGCCGCGAAGGTGGTGCCTGGGAGATGGCTCTGCTGCTATTTTTGCAGATGCCACCATGCCGAGCTGTGCCGAGTGAGATCAGCTACAGCGCCGTAATGAGCGCTTGCGAGACACTCGTATGGTAAACCCTAGCTGGTTTAGGCTTAGGAAGTGGGAAGCTGGCGGAGAGGGCTTCTGCAAATGCCCTCTATCTATCAGTGTGAGATATTTGCGGAGCAAGCAGTCTTTGATTACCTGCTAACTGTTCTGCGGTATTGCAATTCCCAGAATTACATTGAAGCTAGCCGCTAGTTCCCATTAGAAAGCTGGACAAGCAAGGAAAGGTGGCGAGTGGCAGATGGCGTTGTTTCTGCTGTCGCAGATGCCGGAGGCCACCGTTGTGCCAAACAAGATCACCTACAGTGCCGGCATGAGCGCCTGTGAAAAAGCTGGTGAGTGGAAGAAGGCACTTATTCTGTTTACACACCTGCAGAAGTGCGCAGAGCCAGATGTGATCAACTTCGGTGCCAGCATCAGTGCATGTGCAAGAGTTGCAGAGTGGCAGATGGCATTAGGTTTGCTTGCGTATATGCCTGTAGTCAGCGTCCTGCACAGCGAGACCAGCTACAATGCCAGCATCAGCGCATCCGGGAAGGGTTGTGAGTGGAAGATTGCACTGCTTTTGCTTTCGCAGATGCTTGCAGGCGGTGTTGTGCCAAGTCGGATTAGCCTGAGTTTTGTCGTCAGTGCATGCGAGCTTTGTGACGAGAGTAGTACGGCATGGACAATCTCTGAATGCCAAAGTCTGCAGTATGTTCTGCATACATCCAGCCTGCGGCGGTTTTGCGCTCCTCACAGGTATGCACTTCAGTGAAGGGTCAAGAGACTAAAAGACATCTTTGGCGATCACCGGCGCTGCTGAATCCTAGCGGCTCCCACCTCAACCTGCAGTGCAAGCGGATTCTCCTGCAGAGCGATATAACAGGAACTGAGCCAGGGTGACGGCTTCACCGTGGCCCAGCTATGAGCAAAACGGACAGTGGATGAACCAGAGGATCTCATCGAGCGGAGTGGTGCAAGGATGATGCCATATCATTTTTGCACTTCTCCGGTCGATCGGGATCCGCTGGCTCATATACTCTCTGTGGGGCTTGCTCGATGCGAAGACTCTCGCTGCCTCGGGCTAGGGACTTTCGGGGGAATTCCCGCAGCTCGTTCGAAAGGAAGCCTCACGGCAAGGGATCTTGGAGTCTGGCTTGGCAATGGTTTAGGGTTTAGGGTTTAGGGCTCGGGGTGTTGGCGTTAGGATTTCGGTGGTATTCCACCCCCGAGCGAATACCCTAAACCCTAAACCCTAAACCCTAAACCCTAAACCCTAAACCCTAAACCCTAAACCCTAAACCCTTTACCCTTTAACCCTAAATCCTAAGCCCTTAAATCCTAAATCCTAAACCCCAACTCAGGGCCTTGAAATGTAAGGCCCTGAAGCCTAAAATGATTAGGAATCCTAGATTCTACTTGGAGGTTCATGTGACTTAGGAAGGGTTATAATGAGTACCTTAAGTGGGTTATGAGTAATTATAAGTATAGTTTCCTTATTTATATCCGTAGTTACTAAGTCCCATGAACCTCCAAAGTAGGAGTCCTGAAATTCGCAACGCTCAACACGCGCTATGCAACACCCCTCGAGCCGTCAATGCCCTCAGCAACACGGTTTTGGGTTGACCGGTGACGATTTAGGGTTAATGCCCCAACTACACCCTAAACCCAAATCGGCAACCTCACCAAAAAGGATTGGGATTTAGGATTGTTGAAGACAGGTTTGGGGTCTAGGGTTAAGGCTGACCCACCCCCCCCCTAAACCCTAAACCCTAAACCCTGAACCCTAAACCCTAAACCCTAAACCCTAAACCCTAAACCCTAAACCCTAAACCCCAAACCCCCCCCCAAAAAAATGACGGTTTCGGCTCCTGCCTTGGGCCTTTGCCGAAGGGGTGCGATGAGAGCCAGGCCCTACACTGCGCTTGTAGTTTTCTGGCTGTAGACGGTTTAGGGTTTAGGGTTTAGGGTTTAGGGTTTAGGGTTTAGGGTTTACACCTAAATCTTCCAGTGTCCCATAATTGAGGAATGGTATTAAGGAATATACCTTAAGTTGTATGAAGGAAGGATCCCAATATGATTTAAAGGTATTTTCCTAAAGTAAGGGATTGTTGAAGATCTGGGAAGTAGCATTCCGGCTGTCTTAACGTTAGGGGTAATATAGAAGCTTCAGTACTTGCCAATATCATGTTTTGGACAATCCTCAGCCTATCTTTAGTATAATCTAGCCCCTGAGCCTGAAACCTAAATATCATTTTTTTCGGGAATCCTTGTTCTATCTTTAGTATAGCATAACCCTAAACCCTAAACCCACACCCAACACCCGATTCGAATTATGAAGGCCTGTGTAGTAAGTACCTTTCCCAGGGGCCCTCATGCTGCTGACTTCTAGCAAGATTTTCGGTTTTAGGTTTGGGAGTTTAGGGTTTAGGGTTTAGGGCGTTTAGGGTTTAGTCTAGGACAGTTTCAGGTGGGTAGTTACAGTTATAGGCTTATAGAAGGCCTATATCCCTTATGGAAGCCTGATGCTTTACAGCTAGGAAACACTTGCTTTGAGGCATATTTCCCGTTTGAACTCAGGGGCACGCCTTGCAGTCCCTTCAGAGCAAAACCCAAGTCGAATTAGTAATATAGGGGCCTAAATAATTACCAATACTGTTTTGGGGGTTTCTTATGATAAATATAGTATAATATCCCCCATAACCCTGTTCTATTTATTCAGGCCCCTTAACCCTAAACCCTTAAGTAGCCCTTTTGGAACCCTTTAAGGAGCCGTCTTGTAAATATTAAGGTCCCTACAGTAGATTCCTGGAGCCCGCTTCTTGTCATCACTTCCCTGCAGTTCGAAGGCTTCCGTGAAGGCTTCTTGTGCTGAGCGTTTTCGGGCTTTCGGGTTTGGGCATTTGTTGTTTAGGGTATAGGGTTGAGGGTTTAGGGTTGAGGGTTTAGGGTTTAGGGTGTTCCATTTTGAGGTTTTCGGGGTTGCTGTGTGGATGAGCTAAACGAGGGGCAGCAGTGGTTTGCTCGGTTGATGAGTTTCGAGCGCTGTTGAGCCGTGGACGCTATTAAGCGCGCATGGCAGGGCTATCGAGGTTGCCTGCCCTTGTTGGGTTTAGGGTTCAGGGTTTAGGGCCATGTTTCTGAGCTTATAGGCTTTCCAACAATGCCCTCGCACTGAACCCTGAACCCTACATTCTTCAGCCGCGAAATTCCCATTCAGCGGACACTCAATGCCATAAGGGAAAATAGAAGGGCTACGGGATAGCACAAGGCTACGCCCTAAACCCTAAACCCTAAACCCTAAACCCTAAACCCTAAACCCTAAACCCGATTCTGGTTGCTCTTATATCAGCTATGCCGGGAAGCCGAGACTGGCAGCTTGCCGTTCACCGGGCGCAGCAAGGATTTGGAAGTGGGAGCCAAATAGCTTCTAGGCCGCACAATGCCTGAAAGTTCCCTGTTAAAGTCTATAGTATAGTTTCTGTCCAATCTTGGTCAAGGCTTTGTACCCTTTGCCCTGTTATTTTGGGGTTTCCCTACTGGATCTGAATCCTATGCCAAATCGGTGCCCTTCATCATTCACTGAGCCCAGGCTTTATGCCAAGCGATCGTTGCCTGCGGGAGAGCCGAACAGTGGCAGACGGCACTGCAGATGTTGTCCAGCATCTTTGCATCGAGGTCGGTTCCTGATGTCTACAGCTTCAGCGCTGCTATTACGGCCTGCGAGAGGAGCTTGAAATGGCAGATTGCAATAGGACTCTTAGGGCACATGGTATTTGTCCAGACCCTGCCAAATGTAGTCAGCTACAATGCTAGCATCAGCGCATGTGAGAAGGGAGGTGAGTGGCAAATAGCATTGCTCCTCTTCTCGCAGATGCCGACTTACGATGTTGCGCCAAGTGAGATCAGCTATAACGCCAGCATCAGCGCCTGTGAGAAAGGAAGTGTCTGGCAGATGGCCCTGCGTTTGTTGTCGCAGATGCCGGCGGCCAGAGTTGTGTCAAGCGAGATAAGTTTCAATGCCAGTATCAGTGCTTGCGAGAAAGGCAGACAATGGCAGATGGCGTTGTTTTTGCTGTCGCAGATGCCGGAAGCCAGTGTGCTGCCAGATAGGATCAGTTTCAATGCCAGCATCAGTGCTTGTGAAAAGGGTGGTAATTGGCGGATGGCGTTGCATTTGTTGTCGCAGATGCCGGTAGCCAGGGCTGTGCCCAATGAAATTAGCTTCAATGCTGGCATTAGTGCATGTGATAAAGGCGGAGAGTGGCAGACAGCGCTGTTTCTGCTGTCAAAGATGTTTGCGGTTAGTGTTGTGCCGGGCGTTATCAGCTTCAATGCCAGCATCAGCGCATGTGAGGACATTGGCGGGTGGCAGACGGCACTGCACCTGTTGTTGCAGATGGCGGAAGTCAGTGTTGTGCCGAGTGGGATCAGCTACAATTCCGTCATTAGTGCATGTGAGAAAGGCGGTGAATGGCAGATGGCGTTGTATTTGCTGTCGCGAATGCCAGCAAACCGTGTTGTGCCAAACGAGATCAGCTACAGTGCTAGCATCAGTGCCTGTGAGAAAGGGGGTGAGTGGCAGGCGGCGCTGCATGTGCTTTCGCAGATGCCGATAGCTACAGTTATTCCAAATCAGATTAGTTATAGTGCCGCCATCAGTGCATGCGAGGCAGCGGGAGAGTGGCGGACGGCGCTGGAACTGTTTTCAGAGATGCAGAATGCAAACATTGCCCCAGATGTGATCAGTTTCAATGCCAGCATCAGTGCTTGTAAGACAGGTGGTGAGTGGCAGATGGCTTTGCATTTGTTTTCAGAGTTGCCGAAAGCTGGTCTCGTGCCAAATTTCATCAGCTGCAGTTCTGTCATCAGCGCCTGTGAGACCTGCGATGTGTGTAGCTTCGCATGGGCAGGCCCTGGATGCAGCTTCTTCCGAAGCCTAAATATGGGGGTTTCCGAAAATAGGAGACCCTAATATAGTACCCTAAATAGTAGGATCCTTATTATAAGGACCCCAGAATAAGGTACCCTTATTTTCGGAAACTCCCATATTGGTAGTTCCAGAAATTAGGGTCCCTTTCCGGGCCTTTTCCAATGAGGGTGCCGCACTATTTTGGTGATCTAAAGAGGGACCCCACTTTAGCGAACTACCCAGATTCAGATGGTGGATCAAATCGTGCCTTACCTTAAACCCTCTAAACCCTAAACAAGATGCTTGAAACTGGCACCCAGCTTGATGCAGATGGTCGCTCCTTGGCTCAGGTACAACGCCTACTTAGAGGCCCAGGGGACTTAGTAAGTCGGTTATATGTAGGGTTATAGTTGGGGTTTCTCGATTTAGGGTACTTATAACTCTACTTATAACCGACTTATAGCTCTACTTATAACTCTTATAACTCTACTTATAACTCTACTTATAACCTACGTACTAGGTCCCCTGGGCCTCCAAGCAGGATCTGCTCTGGTGGACAGCAAACTTTGGTGTCGACCACGCAACTGCTAGCCTTGTACCCGAACCAAGGAGTGAACATAAGCCGAACAACCATCGAAACTTCATAAACCCTATAAGCCCTATAACCCTATAAGCCCTATAACCCTATACGCCCCATAAGCTTCATAAGCCCTATAAGCCCTATAACCCTATACGCCCCATAAGCTTCATAAGCCTTATAAGCTCCATAGACCGTCTAAGCCCTCTAAGCTCACGCGCAAAGCACCTCGCATTTAGGGTTTAGGGTTTAGGGTTTTGGCAGCATTTGGATGGAGCATTCCATCTTCTAAGATTCGGGCGCTTGCTCCTTTTTTCTTCGTTTGAGCGATCTTCGTCTGAACCAGCACAGGCGTGCTGAGACTGCTTTCTTTTTCCTTTGAGCCAGTGTCCAAACTATATGTTAAGTTCTTGATGTGTTAAAGACTTGGCAGCATTACTATGGCATCGCTCTCGAAGCAACGGTAGCACCAATGCTTCTGCAAAGATGCTGCTGGAAGCAAGACCGGGCGGGAGCTTCGTTCTCATTGTACAGGGACTCACCACCAAGACTAAGCTTGTCAGTTCTGTTTAGGGTTTAGGGTTTAGACGCCACGGTTTAAGATTCACGCTTTTCGGTTCGGGTGTCCGGGTTGAGGGGATCGTCCTGCTTGTGTGGTTCCATATACCGCTAGCTCTGATGTGCCCCCCCCCCTTAGGGTTTAGGCTTAAAGCCAAAACGCAACACTCAAGCCCTAAACCCCAGTCCCTACTTGGAGGCCCAGGGCACTTAGTAAGTAGGTCATAAGTAGAGTTATAAGCACCTTAAATGGAGTTACCCGAATTATAACCATATTTATAACCTACTTGCTAAGTCCCCTGGGCCTCTAAGTAGACCCGAATCTCTGAAGCCTAAGCCCTGAGCACTCACTCTGAACTGAACCCCCCCAAACCCTAACCCCTGAACCCAAAGCCTTGAACCCTAATCCCAAACCCTTATAAACCCTAATCCTTATAAACCCTAAACCTTGAACCCTGCACCTTGAACCCTAAACCCTAAACCCTGAACCCTAAACCCTAAACCCCTACCCTGAAGCCTGAACCGTCAACCCTGAAGATCTCCACCCTGAACCCTTCAACTCCGATCCCGAAATCGTTGAGCGGGAGCCCCGAAGCTGAAATCGAAAGGTTTAGGGTTTAGGGTTTAGGGTTTGGGGTTTAGGGTTTAGGGTCTGGGGTTTGGGGTTTTTAGGATTTTGGGGGTTTAGGGTTTGGGGTTTAGGGTTTAGGATTTTGGGGTTTGGGGTTTAGGGTCTAGGGTTTGGGGTTTAGGCTTTAGAGTTTAGGGGTCCGTCTCCTGCAGGAGATTTGGGCGGCTCTCTCTTTTGGGGGTCCTTTTTTGTCAAGGTGCCGTACTACATTTGGGACCCACGTTTTCAGTTTAGGGTTTAGGTTTAATTAGGGTTTGGGGTTCGGTTTCAGTATTTAGGCTTTAGGGTTTTTGGTTTAGGGTCGAGAGCGGTTCTGAGAAACCCTCGGATATTGTTGTTGCTTTACCTATCAGGGCGGCTTGAGCACGGTAGCACCTTAAACCCTAAACCCTAACTAAACCCTGACTAAACCCTGACTAAACCCTAACTAGACCCTAACTAAACCCTAACCCTAGATTTGAAGACGGGGAGAAGTGTCATGCCGGTGCAGGGAAGGCGCAGAGCAATCCTTCCGGGACCAGGGTTGCATTAAGGGTTCCTTTAAGGGTGCTCAAAGGGAGTTATGGGTTTAGGAATTGGAGTTCGGGGATTACGGTTTAGGGCTGTGGGGACTAGGGTTTAAGGGTTTGGATTCTAGTATTGAGGACTTTGTGTTTGGGGATTTGGGACAGCCATGTGTCGCGTCGCCGGGCCGGCAGTGAGCAGTGGTTGTCAAGATTGGCAGCTTGCAGTCTACCTGGCACAGACTCTTCCAGCAAATGGCAGCGACAAAGCTTTCTGCCAAGCGATTGTTGCTTGTGGCAGGGCCAAGCATTGGCAAGCCGCACTTCAACTACTGCCAAGCATTCTGATGTCTCGGACAGCTCCAACAGTGTACAGCTTCAGTGCGGCGATCATGGCCTGTGAGAAAGGCCTGAAATGGCAGCATGCTCTGGCACTGTTGGTTCAAATGGTATCAATGCAAATTCTGCCAAATGTGGTCAGCTACAATGCTGGCATCAGTGCATGTGAAAAAGGCCGTCAATGGGAGATGGCGTTGCTTTTGTTGTTGCAAATGCCGACAGCCAGGCTTGTTCCAGACGAGATCAGCTTCAATGCCAGCATCAGCGCATGTGAGAAGGGGGGTGAATGGCAGATAGCTCTGTCTCTGCTGTCGCAGATGCCGGTTGCCAATGTTTTGCCAGATGCGATAAGCTTCAATGCCGGCATCAGCGCCTGTGAAAAGGGTGGTAAGTGGCAGTTAGCATTGTTTCTGCTGTGGCAGATGCCGGCGTCTGATGTAGCTCCAGATGACATCAGCTTCAATGCCGGCATCAGTGCGTGTGGACGAGCTGGGGAGTGGCGGATGGCGTTATTGTTGCTGTCGCGGATGCCGGCAAACGAAGCTACACCGGATGTGATAAGTTTCAATGCCAGCATCAGTGCTTGTGAGAAGGCTGGTGCATGGCAAATGGCATTGGTGCTGTTCTCGCAAATGACAAATGCTAGGGTTGCTCCAAACACGATCAGCTTCAATGCCGGCATAAGCTCTTGTGAGAAGGCTGGTGTGTGGCGGATGGCATTGGTGTTCTTATCGCAGATGCTGGTGGCCAGCGTTGCGCCAAATCGGATCAGCTTCAATGCCAGCATCAGTGCGTGCGAGAAAGGGGGTGAATGGCAGATGGCATTGCGTTTGCTTTCGCAGATGCCAGGAGCTAAACTTGATGCAGATGTGATCGGCTACAGTGGGAGCATGAGCGCATGTGCGAAGTGCGGTCAGTGGCAGATGGCACTATTTCTCATGTCACAAATGCCCACGGCCAAGGTTGTGCCAGATGAGATCGCCTACAGTGCCGGCCTCAGTGCATGTGAGAAAGGTGTTCAGTGGCAGATGGCGTTGTTGCTGTTTACACAGATGTCGGAAGCTAACTTTGTGCCGGACACGATCAGCTACAGCGCCGGCATCAGTGCATGCCAGAAAGGTGGCGAATGGCAGATGGCACTAATGCTGCTATCTCTAATGCCAGTGGCTAGTGTTGTGCTAGATCAAATAGGCTTCAATGCCGGCATCAGTGCCTTTGAGACAGGCGGGGAGTGGCAGATGGCATTGTTGATGCTGCGGCAGATGAGGGCAGCCGAAGTTGTACCAGATGAAATCAGCTACAATGCCAGCATCAGTGCCTGCGAGAAAGGAGGGGAGTGGCAGATGGCGTTGCTTTTGCTGTCGCAGATGCCGACTGACCGAGTTGCGCCAGATGTGATCAGCTTTAACGCCGGCATCAGCGCATGTGAGAAAAGCGGGGAGTGGGAGAGGGCCCTCGATCTGCTGTCTCAGATGCCGAAGAACCTTAGTGGCTGAGTAGGTAACCTTGAACTTTTTGGGGCTCTTATAATCCTACTATAATTCAAAAGGTTAACCTTTTTTGGGCTAGGGTACTCAGCCCCGAAGGAACATAGTTGTGCCAGATGAGATCAGCTTCAATGCTGGCATCAGCGCATGTGAGAAGGCAGTAGCTGGCACATGATGCGGGCCAACTTATGCCTTTCGGAGGTGGCATCCTGAATGTCAAAGTCGAGAGACAGCATCACCTATTGCCGGACGAAGTGAGCTCAATGCAGAGTGGACGTCAGCTTGCCCTTCTTGTTTTCATCCTGCAGATCTTCGTATGACTGGTGATTTCCGTTCCCAATGATCATCCATTCATCTGCTTCTTGTTACAAGTTTCGGGTTGAGGGCGGCTTTGGCCTTGAGCTATACTTCCCGAAGCCCGAAACCCTAAGCCCTAAACCCTGAAGCCCTAAACCCTAACCCTAAACTTCCCCAAACCCTAAACCCCTAAACCCCTATTTCCTAAACCCCTAAACTTTTATGGTCAACCCTAGCAAGATCCATCCCAGCAGCTGCAGATTGGCGACTTGTGCTTTGCGGTGTGCGAACCACTGGGCCACGGCAGCTCGTTTGAGATCTAGGAGTTTAGGGGCTTAGCAGTTTAGGGGCTAGGAGTTTAGGGTTAAAGGCCTCGAAGATTTCGCGCGGATGAGTTTCCATGCAGTGGAGTTCCCGATGCCACAGTCACGGAATCTGTGATATACGTGTACTATCACCATAGACCCCTTGTATATGCAAACCCTAAACCCTAAACCCCCAACCACAAACCTAATTCTGATGATCAAGGGCCCTGTGCTGTGTTGAGGGCTGGCTCTTGGGTCGGTTTAGGTTTTTGGAGTTTAGGGTTTCAGGTTCTTGGGGTTTAGGGTTTCAGGTTCTTGGGGTTTAGGGTTTCAGGTTTCTGGGGTTTAGGGTTTCAGGCTTTTGGG